CAATAGTTTATATTTTGAATTAAATAGTTTACAATTAAGTCACTATTTTATTTCGTTAAGATTAAGAAGCTCATTAATTAATTTGTATCAATTCATCTTATTTAGTTTCTAGCCAAATCTCAAATTAAGCTCAAATTGGCTAAATTCTTAAATTCAATTAGCTATAATCTTAATCAAATGGGTCAAACTCTCAATTCCAATTTAACCTCTCTCTTACCTCACACTAACCCATTTGTGATAGACTAATTTGGGCCTTATTCCTTTTCAGCAACCCATCTTCTTAATTTCCAATTATACAAATAACCCAACCCACTTCTTTTGCAATCAGCAACCCACCAAATTAACCCATACAATACATACACATACAACAGTAATACACGTACCAAAAGACCCCTGTACAACATCTTCAACCCAGAACTAGTCGCGACCCAGTACAGATTGTGAGCCCAGCAGCCAAATCCATCGCGCGTGGCCTCTCCTCTCTCCATCATTCTCTCCGTACCAAGACCGTTTCGAGAATGGTATAGGTGTCAAAATCTTGACGCCTCTATTGTCCTTCACTCAAGATTAAATGGCTGTGATTTTCAATCCGTTGAAGGGTGGTACGATTCAAGCTGGCAACCTGATCCTTTTGAAGGGATTCGAATTTTGAATTCAAAGATCACCCAAAAAACCACTCTCGTTTCCCCCAATTAACAACCCTAGAACTCGTCTATAAATAGTTCCTCTCCCATCTTGTTAAGGGGGGGATTTTTGATTTTTATTTTTTTTGGCTTCCATTGATATAGAGAAGTAGCTCAAAGGAAATATATAAAAAATACATACGAAATAGACACACAAATAGAGAGTCGAAATTAAGCGAGAGTCAGTCTTCTTAAATCATATAAATTTGGAGTCTAGATTTCGGGTTTCTTTCCAATATTTTGCTCACCAAAGCTCATCGGCATTTGATTCAAAGTGGTGGAAGCTTCTTCGTGTTTAGCTCGTCCTGTCCCGTTCGCTGCTCCGAGAAAGGTAAACCCGATCCCTTTTATTTTCGCTATTACATTATGTTTGAGATCGTATATATCTTGATTCTCGTGTGCTGAAAATCCTGTATGCTCATGCCTTCGTTTCTCTCGTGTTGCGGTTGTTCGATGGGTGTTTTACATAACAAAAAATTTCAGATGTTTGAATCTAGTTGTTAGCATCTTTGTTTTCAGAGCCAATAATGGAAAACTTCGATTTAGTTTGAGTAAATCTGCTCATGTTTGAGTTGTTCATTTGTTAAGGTTAATCTCGATGTTGCAAGACTTTGGTGGTTTGTTTCGTTATCGTCATCATATCTGCCGATCTGAACCTGTTATTAAGCTTGTATTGACCTGCTCCTTCTTTTAAGTGCCTCCTCCTCTATTATTCATCATGGGTCGTTCTTCTTGTTGACCTTAAATATTTTAAAGGCTAAAGGTTAGTTGGTGCAGCAGTAATATGTGGTCTTATGGTGCTGTCCGTATTTGTTTTTAGCTCAAGGAAGAGCCTAGTGTTCCTTCACCTCTCCGTGTAGATCATCCGATTTTTTTTTTCTTGTGTTTTATTGTTATTGGTAGTGATAAGCTAATTTTAGCTCCAAGTTATTGTTTGTTTTTGTATAATTTTTATTCTAGTTTGGATAGTGGGTGAGCACGCTATTTCCGGCGTATATCGTACCATGTGCATCGAAATGTTCCAAGCATGCCTTAGTTTCTTTTGCATTTTTGCTTTGTTTTGGTTTAAATAATATCCCCTGGTTTATCTTTTTTTTTTGGAGTTTGGAAGCCACTGGGACCCCTTTGCCATGATGTCGATCACCTATAATGTTCACTGCATAGTGGGTTGATTAGTAAATTTGCTCATACTATTAGGATTCATTATTTTGCACGCATATGGAACAATAGCTTGAATGTATATTATTTTGTTTATTAATAGGATTTGGGTCATTAGCGTTCTATGTTGTTTAGTTTGGCCAAGTTTATTTTACCACACATTATCATGAAAGTTGAATTGATAAATTGTCTTAGATATATTATTATTTGTGCTATCTCGAGGTTCTAATTTGTATATTTTTTACTCTTATTTTTTAATGCATGTATATTTGGCCGAGTTTCCCGTAAAATCCTATTTCTCTTTCCCCCACATCCCGAGAGCGAGCCATAAAGGCTCAGATCCTTTCAGTTGAGTTAATCGGGTCGGCGAGACTGATGAACATGTCTTGGGAAATCCATACAAGGCTTAAAATTAAATTTTCAAGCTCCGAAAGAGTCAAAAACAGGCTGATATGCCTGCTGTATACACCGATATACGGGCAGAAAATACCATATACAGGGCAAAAACGTGAAAATATAGGTGGAAAACGTGGAAATACTGAGTTAAGAGAAAATTACAGGTTCGGGGGTTCGAAAACTGATGGTATACGTGGCATATATACTTGGTGTATATCATCTGGAAATGGAAAAATGGGTCAAAAGGGCAATTTAATTGGATTTGGGCCAAAGCCCAAATCTAATTATCTCCTCTCCCTCTCTTATTATTTATATTGTGTTATTTGACTATTTTTGATAATTTTATGGTTTAATTTAATTAAATTTCCGTAGATAGCTATTTCATTTTTATCTTATTCAAATTAAAATATCTATGTTTTATACTTAGCGCTATTTTATTTAGTCTTGTCACTTAAATTATTCCCCCTTTAGAAAATTTCCCTTTAGTTCATTCCCCCTTAGGATAAATAAAATGATAAAAATAGTAATAGTAATAAATAAACAAGTTAAAATAGATTAGTTCTTTTACTAAGTTAAAATTTTTGTTTAAAAAATAATAATAATAATAATAATAATAATAATAATAATAGTTAATATAAATGAACTATTTTACTTAATTAAAATTTCAAGAATTAGTTAAAATAAATAAGTTCTTTTATTTAGTCAAAATTTCAAATTAATTAAAATAAGTAAGTTCTCTTATTTGGTTAAAATTTCAAAATAAGTCAAAATAAATGAATTCTTTTACTTAGCTAAAATTTCAAAATTAGTCAAAAATCATTTTTGGTCAAATCGTCGGTCAACCGCAAGTTAGCGGGCATTCCGAGGGCCTAACACCTTCTCGGAATGTACATTTGAACTCGAACCCTTTTTCAATTGATTTTATCTGTTTAAGTCTTTTGAAAAATCTTTTATTTTTTCTTGATATTTTACTAAAAATTAAGTGGCGACTCTGTTCTTTTGAAAATTTGATTTGCTTAAATCATAAGTTTAATCGATTTTCCGAAAACTCAGTCAGTTTTCCTTTTACATATATTTTTAAATAAAACAAACGTTTTAACTTCATTTTTAGACTCAAGTTTCAAGTCAAGCAAAGAGCTTAGAGTTTCAAGCTAAGTGACGAGTCTCAAGACTCAAGTTGAGTCAAGAGTTTAAAGTTGAGTTCATTTCTCAAAAGCTATTAGGGAACTAAGTATTCCCAAAGAAGTTTCTAAATGTTTGTTTACATTTGAGTAAGAAAGGAACTATGATTCCAAAAGAGCCTTAGGGCTAGTTTTCAAGAAAAAAAGGAACATCGTTTTCCAAGTGAGCCTTTGGGCTAGATTTTGAGTAATTATCTCATTTAAAGAGAGATGTGTTTAAAACACTCATGAGTTAAAAGCATTTTGGGAGTAGTATCGAGCACCGATTTGGGGGCGCGAGTTCGTATTAAACTCAACTCTCCATAATAACCATGTAGCCAACATGGGAGTTAATGGGTCATACTTTTTAGATGAACCCGTAAAGTTAAGCTAGTGGATCCACTTAGTAAAGTTAGCTTCCTATATCAAGACCAGGTATAGGATGGTCCTCAGGCAACGTGAGGTAAAACGTTGTATCATTAGCTTCCTATATCACGGCAAGGTATAGGATAGTCCTCGGGCAACGTGAGGTAAAATGTTATATCACCACTCATATTCGTAGTGGTGGTTTGTCGGTTAGAGAAGCTCCCACAGTAGAAAGAGCATGGTTCCTCGAGGGTTCTGCTTAGTATGGATGGGGGTATGGGACTTCATTCATACATTGCACAAGTAGACCTTGAGAAGAAACATGGTATTTTCATGATATTATAAATATGATTTTTACGTCATGTTTTAAGAGTTTTACAAGCTTTATATATTGCATGTGTCTTATTGCTTTATATATTGAATTCAGTTATTCATGAGTTGAACAGAGCCAAGGTAAGTGTTCTCTTGTACTCTTTTCAAGCTTAAGTTGTGGTTTAGCTTTCCAGCTCGCATACTCGTACATTTAATGTACTCATGCCAGTTGGCCTGCATCTTATGACGATGCAGACACAAGTACCCCAGATCAGCATCCTGCACGTCGTTGATCCAGTTGAGCACTCCAGAGTCAGTGGTGAGCCTCCTTGCTTTCCGGAGGACTCAATTATTTTGTGTACTTAGTTTTGTTCTATTAGGATGTTGCAGGGTCTGTCCCAACATCCATATCAGTATTTTAGAGGCTTCATAGACAGTCAGTCAGTTAGTATTGAGTCTCTCATCTATGTATATATGTAAATATTCTATTTTGAGACTCGAGCTGCCTTTTGGCGTGTTATGCATCAGTTGGTTGTTTTATAACCTTTCATTGCATGAAGTTATTCTGTTAAGTTAGGTTTCCGCTGAGTTAAGAAAGCCAGGCCAAGCGTTCGCTTGGGGCCAGCAATGGTCTCCGAGTGCCGGTCCCGCCCAGGGTGTAGGCACGGGACGTGACAGATATGTAACAATATGGGATTGCAAGTATACATATAATTCTTCAGAAAAGGATAACTTTTAAAACTGCCCATTATATTGTTTAAGGCTTGGCTTAGATCAATAGGAACAACTGATATAAACTCTTCATGAGAAAAGATGGATCAGCATACCAAGTTTAAACTAATTCACCCACAAAAGAGAAGTGAACAATAACATTTGAAACCTACATAGTTGAAATAGGAAAAGAGCGATATCAGCCATATCCCGACTAGTTTATTAGTATTCGAGCTGAAATACGGAGAACACAACACCATTAAACTTAAATATCAGCAACATCCATTTCAAAGTTTGCGCATAAGCAAAGGAGCGCCATACTGTGGTTGAGTAGAAACTATTGCAAGTGGAGCATGTGTATAAGACGGAGAGAGTTCGAAGGAGAAATTTTGTATTATCATTGCTATTGCCATCTTTGCTTCCATCATTGCAAAGTTTTGTCCGATGCAAATTCGAGGTCCCCGGCCAAATGGAAAAAACGAGGCCTGTCCTTTTGTTGCCTTTGCCACTCCTTCGCTGAATCTTTCTGGTTTGAATTCCTTCGCGTCTTCACCCCATAATTCCTTGTCATAATGAATTAATACTGTGAGTATAAAGAGTTGCACTCCAGCTGGTAGACTCAGCTCCCCTAATTTGACTTCATCTTTAATCCTTCTACGAAATGTTGCTACTGGGGGGAATAGCCTTAACGTCTCGTTCAAGATCATTGTCACCTAAGGAAAGAAAAATGTATTGCATAAGTTGGAAGTAAAATTAGTTCACTTCTTATAAAATTTAGGTGTCATGCCTTTTCGAGATATTTTAGTAGTCTCTAACTAATTAATTGCCCTTATGAGACTGAAATAGGACGATAGAACATGTGGTCTATCTGATCTCAGTTGTAAAATTTCGCATTAATCATGGGCAATACGATTTAACAGCTACTCTAATTTTATAGTGTTCTTCATCTTTGAAGTGTGATCTATTTTTAAATTGTCTTACATAACGAACTTGTGGAAAGTACTTACAATTTTGAGGCGACTTAGTCCTTCCAAATTTGGTTTTTCATTTCCAAAGACCTGCAAAACCTCATCTCTGGCACGTACTTGCCACTCTGGGTGTAGGCACAATAAAATCATCGTCCAGACGAGCAACACTGAATTGCCCTCTTGTCCAGCAAAATAGAACAACTTGCACTCTTCAATCAACTCAATTGTTGTCATTCCGAAATCCTTGTTTCCGTGTTGTTCAATTTCTTTCATATTGGATTCAAGTAATATGCCTAATAAGTCATTTTTACTAGTTTCCCCTGCTTCCATTGCCCTCAATCTTTTGTTGATGATACGCCTAATCGTTGTTTGGATTTGCTTTTCGATTTCCTGCATTCTTTTGTTCCTTTTAGTAGGCAAGAACCTAACAAAACAAATGTAAAAGCAAACAAGAAAATTTATTTTAATTAGGACAAAGTAATGAACATGTGATTTTCCATATTATGTAGAAATTTCACAAATAAATCGTTATACCTAGATCCTGGTATATAAACTGAATGAGTCATGTCCATTACATACTCAGCTTGTTCTTTCTGAAGTTCAAATACTTTTCTCCCTTCTTCATAGCTACTCCCAAATGCGGTTCGAGAAATGACTTCACCTGTCATTAGTTGAAGGTCTGGCCATACATCGAGCTCGACTGATCTTTCCTTTGGAACAATATCCTCCCATTTGCTTATCATTTCACTACAACTTTGATAAAACGCTGGCAACATATGCTGTAAAAAAATAAATTAATCGCAAAAACCAGTACTAGTTATCAGTAGTAGAGCTTCATGTTTGCTAAATTTAGTAGTAATAAGACTATGAAGTAAAAAAAAAAAACCTTTAAGTTCTCAAAATGGAAAGCAGGATTGATGATTTTTCTGTGTTTGGCCCATTTGTCTTCCTCAAGAAATGCAAGACCTTTAGCGAATGACTTGGCAAATGGATTGGGATGAGCTATCTTTTGATACCCATAATTCTTTGTGAAAATCTCTTTTACATGTTGAGGATCTGTGATCAACACTGCTGGATATGGGCCAAGCCACACAAAAGAACTTTTACCTGAGAGTAATCCGTTCTCGCTTAGGAAAAATATATATAAAAAAAAGGCATAATATAATTATCAACTATGAATTCATAGGGCTCTAATTGCTTAGGTAATGACATCAGTCAACTGTAGTCTCTAGAGTTACCACGGATCTGCCTCTAGGATGGAGCAAGGATACCGATCGAAAAGGGGTTCATCTTTACAGAAAATTAATTACATTGTATATATACAAGAAGAGAAAAAAAGTTATTCTTTTAAGGACAAAGAATAAAAGAAACATACCATTTTTGTTGATGGAGTCAAGGAAAAAAGGGATGAGCCTTTGAGCTATATCATCAGAGAAATTGATGGGCTTAGATCTAGCTTCATTGAGTTTATTTGTGAGTTCGTTCAAATCACCATAGAATAATTTGTATGGATTTCCCTTAAGACCACTCTTTCTTAAGTATTTCTCAAGTTTCTTTGGCTTAAACCATGCCCAATTCAACACTCTCCATGTATATACCAACAAAATTGCAACACAAATTGCTTCTATAATTCTGTTGTATGAAATCTCCATGAAAGTAATAAGACTCTTCTTTCTAGCTACTTTCTTTTACATAGAAAAAAGAGGGGAAGTAAGCTAATTTATATCTTCTTAATAACATTAATTGTTGGATATATCTCTTCTCCATTTTCGCCAATCAATTTCTTGGATGGGGGCACATGGCATACGTTACATTTAATGACTAGGATTTAATTGACCATAGAAAATATGATTTAGATGATAAATACATTGTATTTTTAGTTCAAAAAATTATTGTAATCCCACAATCTTAGCAATGGATTATCTTGTCCATAAATATAGTCCAAAAAAAAAAGGACGAATGTAATAGATTTATTTATCTTCTTCATCCAAAACATGAGGGCTAGACTTATTCCTCAAAGGCACAAATTCCTATGTTGAAAAAACTACTCCCAATATACATTTTTCATCTCAAAATAAGTGTGCCCATTTGGCTTGTTCATGTCTCAAAATAAGTGTGTCCATTTGGCTTGTTTCACGCTTATTAAGAAAATTAGAAAAATAACAAATAAAAGGTATAGTTTGCTAAGTTACCCCTATTTATCATATGTTTTTTGAGAGTCGAGTACTATTAAGTAGCAGTAGTTCTTTAATACAAGGGTGTATTCAGAAACAATTACTATTTTTTGTTCTGAATTCTAAAGCGATTCTTGTTTTGAATAATTTTTTTTTTTTTTTTGCTAAAGCAACACTCATTTAGGGACGGTGAGACTAAAAATTAAAGGCATGCCTTCTTTAAATTAGATTGGAAGATTTGAAGATTATGTTGTGTTCTATTTTCCAGTGGTTGTGGTCAGGGGCGGAGCCAAGTAAGGCTCTCTGAATCCCTTCCGTGAAATATCTATTGTTTATGCATTGTTAAAAAAATTTATGTATAAATAGTAGATATTGAACTTCATTGGCTTCTTCATGTATTTTTTATGTAATTAGGTTTCGACCTTATGAAACAAACTTGCAGGACTGGGAGTGAACAATTTATATGCAGAATTAAATGCAGTTTATATAGATTTTTGTTATATGGTTAAAGGCTTAACTTGGATCAATTGGAACACTGATAACATTTCAAACTACAACGTTGAAATTCGAAAAGAGTGAGTTCAGCCATAGCCCAACTATTTAGTAGTATTCGAGCTTATAAACGGAGAATTTCCACTTCAAAGTTTGCGAATAAGAGTTTGCATAGTGCTTTCTATATATGTAACTCAAACTTTCAACTGTGATAGTAAGAATAATAAATGAATTGGAATTTTGTATAGTATTCCCATAAATGAATCTAGCAAGTTTTTCTTCGAGGGTTAAACATTGTTAAATCTTTTAATGGTTGTGATATTTTTTAGTTTTGATTATTTTCTCGTTGTGAATTTTGTTGTTACAACTCATCTTCATATTATCAAGTATTGGCTTGTAAAATAGGAAGAGAATCCAAAAATAAAATAAAATATCTGTAATATGAAAAATTAGACGAAGATGTATATAATACCATTGCATCCATTATTATTATTTAGTGGTAATGAATACAGACTTAGGATTAATAAATATTCATAAAGATAAATTTGGACTATATATTCAATTCTTAACCAACAGAATACATAGTATGATAGTAATATACTCTCAAGTTTTTGCATATCATTAAGATTTCTTGTTTCCTCCATTAACCCTTCTATGCCTTAGACATTACTAATTCATATACATTACTATTCATAATCATTGGCACTCCGATAGCGTCCTGTGCATAGTTTCAATGAAATTTTGAAACTTGCCGAAGGATGACAAGTATGTTATTCTTAAAATTTAGTCATAACACCGATCTTAAAACTCCCGATGCATTTCAATAAAATTAATAGCATAAAATCAAATTTTAATGAGAGCTCTTTAATATATACACACGCATGCAAAATTAATAACAATTTAGAGTTAAATTTTTTGTTTTTAGATACTACTTATTTTCAATGTAATATTCTTGAAAGACATAAAGTCCTTAACTTCATATAGTAATATTATTACTTACAAAATTAAGAATTAATACTCTTGATCTCTTCAATCAGTTGGTGTCATTTGTTTTCAATACATTATCTTGGATTTTGTTGTAAAAACTTTATTTACTAATATCCAGATTTGTGCTGTTTCATTTACTGTTGTAAAATATTTCTGTTAAAAAGTAGATAATTTGTTTTCTTTATTTTTTTTTATAAAGTTTGTAACTTTTTATTTATAATATTTAATATTGTTTAAAATGAAATTAAAATAATAAAATTCAGATTTTTTTGAATTCATGCATGATAGGGTAAACATCTTATTGCTGAGCTGTATGCCTTGAGCAAATGTGATTGGCTTCAGTAACTTATGACGTAAAAAATGTTTTGTAAAATTAAGAGGAAGAACACTTTTTTTTAAACTTATATGGGTATGTTCGGCATGGAGGAATTTCAGTTTTTTTCATTTTTGATTGTTCAAAATTTTGGAATACATTTTCTCTACGAAAATAAGTTATGTAAAAATGAGCTGAAACATGACTTTTGTAGTAGAAGTAGGAAAAACAAGCATCACAAGTGACATTCCACATTGATTGTGTCTTCTAAACCTGCCAACACACCTTATCTTCATCCTCACAATCCCTACGGCCCCATCACCACCTCCAATAGTATTTGTCTAGACTATATATACGGATAAACAACCAAATATACACTTGTACTATAAAAAATAATTTAAATATATTTTTTGTTATACTTTGAGTTCAAATATACCAATCCCGTAATACTTTTAGTCTAGATATCCCCTTTCCGTTATACTTTTCGTCCAAATAAACTCCTTCCATTATACCTTTCGTCCAAATATACCTCTTCCAGTATAACAAGGGATATATTTCGTTATATATAAATATTTTTAAATTAATATTACTTTTTAGAACACGAGAAAATAAATAAGAAACCCGTTTATTAATATCCCTAGATAATATCATTGAATCCCACAAAATTGAATGGATCCAAACAGATTGGACAAAGGACTTTATTAGTACTGGACAATGATGGTTTTGTCTTCGATATTATAGAGAGAAAAGCTAGGCCTTATCTTGTCCAAACAACAACAAATTAAAAAAAGGTAAATTAGCTATTTTCCCTTCTTTTTTCTATGTAACAAATAAACAGCTAGAAAAATAAAATTTCATGGAGATTTTGTACAACACAATTATAGCAACAATTTGTGTTGCAATTTTGTTGGTATATACATGGAGAGTGTTGAATTGGGCATGGTTTAGGCCAAAAAAATTGGAGAATTTATTAAGGCAAAGAGGTCTAAAAGGAAATCCATATAAGTTACTCTATGGAGATTTGAATGAACTCACAAAAAGTATAGTTGAAGCAAAATCTACGCCTATCAATTTCTCTGATGATATAACTCAAAGGCTCATCCCTTTTTTCCTTGACTCCATCAACAAAAATGGTATGTTTCTTTTATTGATTCGGCGGGAAAGTAAATACTTCAACTTTGAGTATGCACATCTAAACAACTCAACTTGTCTCCACTGTGTGATCAGTTTAACACTCTAACTTACAAAATGATCATTTGGACGTGTCTAAAATTTATGTGTCACGTTAGCATTTGGTGTCTACCAGACACAGACACAGTGAAGACGAGTTGGAGTGTTTAGCTGCCAGTTGAGACCAAGTTAAGGTGTCTAGATTTGAACCTCAAAGTTGGAGTGCTTACTTGTCAGTTGAGATCAAATTTGAATGTTTGTTTGTGTATTATGCCTTCTTTTATTTTTTTTCTAATCGAAAATGGATTACTGGCAGGTAAAAGTTCTTTCATGTGGCTAGGCCCATACCCAACAGTGTTGATCACAAATCCTGAACATGTAAAGGAGATTTTGACAAAGAATTATGTGTACCAAAAGCAAACTCATCCAAATCCATTTGCCAAGTTATTGGCTCAAGGTCTTGTGTTGGTTGAGGAAGACAAATGGGCAAAACACAGAAAAATCATCAATCCTGCTTTCCATGTTGAGAAGTTAAAGGTTATATGTACTTCTTTTTTGTTGTATTGACTATTGAGTTTAGGCCAAACAAAGCAGAAAATTCAATTTTCCGTTTTTTTTGTACAGCATATGTTGGCGGCATTTTATA